CAGTTTAATTCCCCCTTATGCTATTAGTCTATCTGGCCTGTCTTCTGTAACTGGTGATGGATGTTCAGGGACCAGACTGAGAGAGGGTTAGATCCATCCAGTTTTTCAGTTGGGGGAAAGGGGGGGAAGGGGGTCAAATTTGAGTACCCAAAAAGGATATGCTGGTGAGAGTGGAGCTGCACTGGTAAAAGTCATGTGGAAAGGAGGCCACAGGAATGAGTAGAATTGGGTGAGACTGACTAAAAAAGCTGGCTAGATTCAACCCAAAGTCTTTCCCCACTATCTGGTATCTGAGATCCTTTTAACTGGAAATAGTAGGGATATGCATTTTATATCTTGAAAATGGAATTTTAGGAAACAAGAATTGTTGGATAAACCAGTTCACAGGGCTCCATTGACTTACGGTCACACCTCACATGTGATAACTCGAAGGAACACCTCACATGTGATAACTCTAAGGAACTTGGACTACAGGCCTGTTTGGTGATCTAAGAAACAATGCAAAAATGTAAGTTCTATAACTTCCAAAAATTCTTCTATACCACAGAAAGTCATTATATGGAATAGTGACCTTGATGTCTCACTGGGGGTTTTTTTGTCTGCAGTGTACATGAAACTGAAACAAGACATGAATGATAGTCAGAAGGTAAATCTGTAATGGCTACCTTAATACAGAAAATATAGCAAATTTAGGCTTGCCAGTACCCCTAGCCCAGTTCACATTGCCCAATGCCAGTTGGAGTGGTGGCAGGAGAAAATTTAAAATTCCTCGAGGCATCAAGTGTATAATTATTTCACTTCTGAGAAACACCCAGAAGTGGCTGGGGGTACTTATAGGAAAGTAGATGCAACAGTAAAGTTGCCAGCCTCCAGGTGGCACCTGGATATCTCCTGCTATTACAATGGATCTCCAGACAATCAAGATCAGTTCCCCTGGAAAAAAATGACTGCTTTGGAGGCTATCGCTTTGGGATTATACCCCGCTGAGGTCCTTTTCCCCCAAACCCCACCCTCCCTAGGCTACACCCCAAAATACACCCCTACACAACAGACAAGGCTATATTTTGTACAGGGACTGGAAGTGGACCACACTATGAGTTTCACTACATACATCTTTCACCCCACTTTCTAACCTCCTCCCACATAAGAACATAAGAAGATCCCCGCTAGTCACAGTGGTCAATCAGATGCCTAATAAGGTGAGGCGGTGAGGCAAAGAGGCAAAGGCTCCACTTGTTGTCCAAAAACTTGTGTTCAGATATACACTATTTCTACACCATTTGGCTAACATGTCTAATAATCATTGACTCACTGTTTCCCCTGATAGATCAGTTTCCGAAAAATTCAGAAGACCTCCAGGAGTAGCATTGGGGGTGGTGGCAGCTTTGGTATTGCAACAAGAGGGGAGAGGTGGAAAAGTCATTCTACACTGGTGGAAATAGTTCAGTTGCTGGAAACATCCCAGGGATCCAAGCCACAGATACACCTACATTCCATTAATGTGTCTATTTCCCTTTTGATGCCACCTAAAGTTAAGGGCCATCATCACCATCTTGCTGCAGTTAGTTCCCTTCTTAATTATGTACTCTGTAAAGAAGTATTTTCCTTAGTATGTCTTGAATCTGTCCACCGGGTGTTCCCTAGTCCAGGTATTTTAGGAGAGACAAAAAAACGTTTACTTCTTCCATACCATGCAGTAACTTAATTCGCTCAGATTGTGAGAAACTTTAGCTGACCACATTTCCAGAGCTGGTAAAATGTTTTGCATTATATTTGAAGGAATTGTATTCAATGTTTCCATTATTATAGGAGGGGAAAGTAACAAATGAAAGCAATTTTTACTATTAATTAACCATAATATATATATTTTTTAAAAAAATGTCTTTGGCAACATTCTAGGCATTCAGAGTTTTAATTGATCCTTCAGGATTCACAGTGAAGTCATCACTGTAAGATGCTTTGGGGATTGTTATCCCAACAGCCACCTATATAATCTTCTACAGATTCATCTTGGCATTGCCTCACCTAATGTACACATTATACACATACTCGATTCATTAACTGATACACTCTGTACATCGCAGTCTCTACACTGTGCCATTATAAATTTGTATTTACAGACTTCTTGCTCAAAAGTGATTAAAGTCCTGGTTTTACAGGAAAGATCACATCCATGGAAAAGGAGTACTTTGATTATATGTAAGTATGTTATTTTTAAATTCATTTGTGGGAAGAAAAGGAAAGAGAATGAATGTTGATCAGTTCATCTTCTTCATGGAGAAGCAGTGACATGGATCATCTAAAAATGGGATGTATATGTATGGGAGTAACATTCTTACTTCAGTGTATTATCTTGATGGAACTAAATCCTAGGAACCCTCATTTCAACATTCTCAAGCATTGCTTAAAAACACACACACCTTCAGACACCACTCCTCCTGTCCTGAATATAGCTTACCCTCAAATATGAATTGTTTTGGGGTGCCATCAATGGTGTTTTTTAAAAAAATGTTCTGTCTTTCCTCAGTTTGACCAAATGAGCTGTCCCATCAATACATGTTTATAAAGTTAATACCACAGCAGTCTCTCATTGAAAGACAAAATGTTTCTTCCTCGTAAGTGATCACTGACAAGAAGCAGATGCACAGTCCTAAACTATATTTGCTACTGGCTGTTTATCTGTATCTTGCTTTTCCACCACAAATTGGCATTCAAAGCAGGTCACAGAAATCCAAATCTAAATTGAATGAGAGCAATAGAAAATTGTACTCTGAGAGGGGATTTTTAGGCCCCATCTGCACATCACTGGAGACCACATAATCATCATGCCATTGCAAGCATCTGTGATGGTGGTTTTCCTGTGTGGATTAGAAATCTACACAACAACAGTGATAGCTCAATGATCTAGCAATATGTGAAGTAACACAATGACCCAGCATTGTGTGTAATAGCAGAACACAGTGTTATGTGGATGCAGCCTTACATGAGTTGGGTTGAGGTATGGTGGCAGTGGCCCTGGTTGAGTTCTGTCCTTTTCCTCAAGTCTTCATTGATGGCTGTTGGAAGGTGGAGGAAGGTGGGTCACAATCTCAAGTCTTGAGATGTACTTGTGAGAGAGCCAATTTCATTTTAGGGATTGGGGAAACAAAATTGTCCAAATGTGAATCTATGATGATAACTCATTCCTATATTAAGAGCTGCCTTCCTGGACTAAGAAAAGGTCCATCAAATTCAGCATTATGCTTCCAGCAGTAACCATTCAAATGGCTCCTTCTATACTGTGAAAACATGCATTTTTGGGGTAGAGGTCTGACCTGAGTAAAACCTTTACCAGGAGGTTTTAAAAGTTCTTCTCTCTGGGCCAAGAACAGGCAGGGAGGAGGAAGTCATTTCAATGCCTTTCCAGCCTCACCTCAGCTACTTCTTAAGAGACAATAGAAGGGTCCAGTCTCCCCCTCCCCGAGCGGGGAACAGAGATTTGGAGGAATTAAGACTAAAAGGAATCCAGGAATAAACTACTGGGATCTTTTTAAAAAAATTCTTTGACCCAGCCTGACCTGGTCAGTGGGTGGGGAAAAGAAAGATGATAAACACCCTGGAAACAAGGAGGAAGGTATCTTGTGTGCTGAGTACATCAGAGCAAAAAATGAAAAATGAACATTGTTTCAGTATAGCATTTACTTTGAAAAGAGCAGAAACTAAAGTGAGCTGGTAATAAGGAAGGATGAAAATTGTTTTGCCCCCATAGACGGAAGAAGAGTCGTACAACAGTAGTTGGGTTAACTAAAGGCCACTTTATTTATTAACAAAACAATGGCAAGGGCTGACAGTATGAAGTGGCATGGTCAAGGCCTGGGGACACACAAAGCCCCACCCTTGCCATAAGATGGGCAATACACCTGGCCCCCGGTGCGTAGCCCGCTATAAGCGGCTCGAACCCGGGCAGCCCAGCCATGGAATATGCCATGATGATCCCTCACCCACAGCCGCACGGCCGGTGTAGAGTATCCATCAAAGGCAATCCAAAAGGCAGATTGTGCATCTCATCCCTGGCCGCAAGGCTGCAGTGATGATCTGACAGACCCCTCCACCCTCCAGGGTTGCTGATAGGTGCTTACCAAGCCACAACAAATTTTCCTAACAAAACTCCGCCCAACCATAAAGTGACGAACCTAGCCACTGGCCCCACCCTTGCCAATTCCTCAATCCACTGACAGCAGTGCAGGGTAGGCAAAAAACACCCCTTATCCATAGCCAATCGGATCAGAGGTAAAAAATTTCTACCCGGCCTTCCTATCAAAAAGGGCGACCAGCCTAAAGCGTGCACTACCTCCAGGGCGGGCGGGTGGGCTGAGCACGAGGCGCATACTGCCTGAATGGGGCCAGAGCCCACCGTTAAGATGGCACTGGTCCCGCCCCTTAAAGTACCCGGCTGCAAGAGCCAAACTCCTCCCTCCTTTCATGGAGGCAAAGACAGCTCCCAGCAGTATGACTTCGGCGTCTGCTGGGGAGCCGGATTCTATTAAATCAAAGGACAAACTGCACTGTGTTCTGCTGTATGACTATGTGTGCATGTTACTGTAAACGTTCTAGGGAAGCTGTAATGAATATTAATTTGGACTGACAGATCTTGTGGCAAAGATGCAGTGAAGAACTCCAGCTGTGTGACCACCTTCATGATGATGGGCCTCTCGGACCAACCTAAGCTGCAGGTCCTGCTCTTTGTCCTCTTTCTCTGCATCTACATTGTGGCTCTGGTTGGAAACCTGGCTATCATTGCTGCCATCCTTTCATATCCCAAGCTTCACACACCCATGTATTTCTTCCTTTTTCACTTGGCCATAGTGGACATAATCTGCACTTCCACCATCATTCCAAAGATGCTGGGGAACATTGCAACTGTCAGTAAGAGCATCTCCTATTCTGGCTGCATAGCTCAGCTCTATTCCTTCACATGGTGTTTGGGTGCTGAAATGGTGCTCTTCACTGTCATGGCTTATGACCGCTATGTAGCAATATGTCATCCTTTGCATTACACCCTTATGCTGAGCAAGAAGGTATGCATGTGTCTTTCCACAGCGGTGATTCTTATAGCCATTAGTAACTCATGGGTTCACACTGGCCTCATCATGAGGCTTACCTTCTGTGGGCCCAATGGGATCAATCACTTCTTCTGTGAGATTCCTCCACTTCTGGCACTCTCCTGCAGCCCAGTAAAAATCAATGAAGTCTGGGTCTTCACAGCAGACATTTTTCTAGCTATGGGAGACTTCTTGCTAACGTGCTTGTCTTATTGCTTCATCGTTAGGGCAATCTTAAAAATCAAGACCTCTGAAGGTAAGAAAAAGGCCTTCTCCACCTGCTCTTCTCATCTTATAGTTGTGTCCTTATATTACTCCACTGTCATCTATACTTATATACGCCCAGCCTCCAGCTACTCCTTTAATAGGGACAAGGTAGTTGCTGCCCTATACACCCTGGTTACACCAACTCTGAACCCCATAGTCTACACTTTGAGAAATAAAGATGTAAAGGCAGCCCTCAAAAAAGTCTTCTTTGTAACATGAGATGGAAAACAAATCTGCCCGTTTGTTTCAGTATTATGCTTTAAGCTTTGTGTGTGGGGGGTGGCAGGTGGGACAAATCATTTTATTTTCATATTTATCTTAATTACACACGCACACACACATCTTGATTTCTCTTTTTCTGATGACTTGAAATGACTGAAGTAGCTCCACTGAAGTGCAGTGACTTGGAAACGATGTGACATTATATGAAGGTTGTACCTGTAATGGCCTATTCACCTACGGAGGTCCATAACTGCTTCTGTAATAGTTAAGTAATGTATATGTATATGCAGACCAATTCTGTGTAATACTGAATGGGTACTGTAAGATTTTTTAAAAAGCAACTCAGTTGTTGTTGTTTGAAAGGACCTAAAGCAAAATCAATCGAACAAACAACCCCCTCTAGTAAGACTCTGAATGTGATGGTCCCCCCTGAAGCCTGTGAGAAAAGTACATGAGTCCCCAGCTTCAGTCATGAGAGGCCCATATTTAAAAGTGACAGGGAGACGAACCCAGGAAGTGGATGAAGCAAAGAACTGGTGATATCATCACAAGGCATCCCATATGAGAAGGGGAAGTAAAGTCACTTTGGGAACTCTGGGAGATTATTATAAAATAGAAAGGCTGAAGATTAATTTGTCCCCTACCTGGCTAATGTTGGGAAAGGTGATTGTGAATGAAGGCATAGTGGGCATAAACTATCCATTCCTTCTCTGAGGCTGTCCCCCACCCCACCCTGTTGTGGTAATGGTGACTCTCAGGTATGGATCAGTTTCCCTCAATGTATTTGAATGTCAGTTTCCCTAAATGTATTAAATCAAAGACACAGGAAAACTGGATTCAACTTGAAGAATACATAGCCAACTTCTTAATTAAATTTCCCAGTGTCCTTGTTATTGTGGCAGGTGACTTTAATGTTAGAATTGGTCCTTCGAACGATGCACTGTCTTCATTCTTTAATGCTGTTCCCCCAATATATGAAACAACAAGTTTGCTACTGCACAGGCCAAATATTTAAAATCAAATTGGATGGGGTTCTGGCTAGCGCAACCAGTGAATTTCTTGTTTCTGCTGTTATGATCCCCAAATCCCCATTTCAAGTTTGCTTCTTCTTTGTATGTCTTGAACTCATAATTATTTTTCAAAAGATAATATGTTTCTGGTGAAATGTTGTTTGTGCATCACAATGTATAATGTTCTTCAATGGACTTATAAGAGTATAACTATACTAAGGACTGTACTGTAAATCAGGATCATGCATATGCAAACAATGTTTCAATTGCATATAAAAACATACATTAAGTATAAACCGTGTCCTTCTACAAATATCTACAAAGCCAGCAGCAAAAAGTGAAGAACTGAAATCAGTGACAAAAACATGAACACAGACAGACAGACATTTGTGGAACTTCTGCTGTGCATTTCTACTAGCAGTGGCAGTCTATATAATAACAATGGGTCTTAACTCCCTTTTGTCAATTCAGGTCATATGATCTAGGCTTTTGGGATAAA